TAGGAGTATCCTGTGGAACTGTAACATGAGATCAAAACACCGATTGTCCGAATTGCCCTGTTGTCAAACTAAATGTTCAGATACTTCATCCAATGTTATATGAGTTATTCCTGATATTAAATAAAGGACTCGTCTATGCGCATTAATATTCTTTTCGAATGGCATTCGAATATTCCACATTACACCATTTCTCCACTTGTCCAGCTCCATAAGTTTCACTTTCTGCCTAAGATCAGTAGCCGTAATTGTTGAAAAAGACGCGAAACTGACGGCAAAGATCAACAAAGTATGGGCGGGAAATTAATCTCATTTGCAATATTAGTCTCATACACATAGCGTAATCTAATGGATTAAGGTTCAGTCCACAGTTGTGTTCCCTACTTAAAGCGTGGGTTTTGCGCTCGGGTGAGATGCGCTGATTATTATTTTGTTGCCTGGAAATGACATCCGGTTCTTCATTCGGTTGGTAACCAAACGTGGCTGCGGGCAGGAACGTTCGCCATGGACCATTTCTGTGCATGAAGCGTGCGTGTATTCTGTGTTCATTAAACAAGGTAGCGTGCGATCTTTGTTATAAGAACTAGACGGGCATTTACTACCAGAGTGTTACGCTGCGTTTATTTATCGAGTTTAGATCATTCGCGGCTTGCAATGGCAACGAAATTGACTGATGTGTTTAAATCTTTACGAGTCATTCCAGTTCCGTTCGGTGAGTATTGCCGCAGTGGCGGCGCGAATGACGAATTACCCTCCATTATGGTAAGCAGCTATTCATTCACGTTTGTTACAGCATAAAGCGAACTTCATCTGCATGCTTTGGTAGATCACGTTTGAGCATATATGTTTTTACATCCGCTTCCGTAAGCTCGCTTACACCTCTGAACAACTGCACTTCCGACAAATAACCATGTTTGAATACTGAACGGGTAATAAATACTGTTTAGACTGATTATCGTTTGCCGTCTGCACATCGTACCGTGCGAATCGTGCTGAAATCCGACCAGTGCTTGTTCATCGACCGCGATACAATATCCAGGAATTCTAGGATATGCGCCGCGGAAATTGAACGTCAAGTATGTTGACCGTACTGAATTCTTAACATCTTGAGCTGGGACTGAATGCGATGCATGCACATTTGCTGCAGGAGAAGGAGGGCGCTGAGGTCGTCATTCGCCTGGAAAATGTTTTTCTGCACCACATGGAACGTGTATTGTTTGCCATCTCTCCAACAGTTTATGGACAATATCCGATTCCTCCAACGAGTAATCTGTTTTTTCTACGGTCAGATTGTATTACCATGTAGTGACCAATATTTTTCGGGATGTCTGATGTGTTTGTGTTCCGTTTCAGTCTTTGATGTATGTGCAATTTGTCCAGTAGCACAAGCCTTGGAAATGGATATGCTTGTCAGTTTATGCCAACAGGTAACTTCCTATTTTCTGCTTTTCCGTTTTTCTCCCGCTCGCTTCTCTTTATTCCCTTTGTGGCGTCTCGCAAATATTCTTTTTAAATATGAATTAGCAGCACAGATGTTCAGTCATTTTCAAGCTTAAAATGAATACATTGG